TATATATATATATCATACTTCTTTTAAAAGTACGAGTTCGGAAAATCTTTCTCAGGTCAGTATTACCTTTAGTTTTTTTTCGAATATTACATTGTTATTCTAATCTATTCTAATTAGTAATTATCTTATCTTTTTTGGATTGGTAACCAAATGATTTATTTTATTCATTATGAGACTTAACATGTTATTGGATAAAATAGAATGGATTTAAAATAATTTAAATCCTTTATTAATTTTAGTTTGTAGAGAAATCTAAAAACATATGCCAGCCAGCACCTAAAAGCTTTTGAACTTAATAAAAAATATTCTATAAGTTTTTTAAATTACAAAAATATCCTTACAAATTCAAATTTTTATTAAAATATTTTAAAAATTATAAATTTTACTTATCTCATTTAGTGAGAAATCTGAAAAACATATGCTAACTAGAAACTAAAAGTTTTTCAACTTTGGGAAAAATATCTTGTAAGTTTTAAAAATTACAAAAACACCCTTAAATATTCAAAATTTATAAAAACACCTTTAAAATTTCAAACCTATAAACATACTAAAAACCTACAAATAAAACAAACAACCCCTAAAAATTTATGCAATTTGCAAAACATACTTTGAATTTTTTACGAATCATAAAATAAAACCCTCAAAATTATAAAATTTACAAAAATCCTGATAATTTCTGACCTAACAGTACATTAAAAATATAAGAATTATGAATATTCTCTACATAATTTATAATTTATAGAAAACATCCTTAAAGTTTTAAAAATTACAAACAAATATTTAAAATTCAAAATTTATAAAAAAAACACCCTAAAAGTTTTAAAATATTAGTAAATTGAAAGCATATGAATTATAAATAGTCTATAAACAATTTAAAATCTATAGAAAAGACCTATAAGTTTAAAAAATTATAAAAAGTCCTTAAATTTTATAATTTATAAAAAAATACATGAGAATTTCTAACCTATAGATACTAAAATAAATATGCAAAATTACTAACAACTCCTAGAAAATTAAAATTTTGTAAAAAAAATATCATACACCTTTTGAAAGTATAGGTTTAGGAAAAACGTTTCATGGTAAATATTATCCATAACTTTTTAAAAAGAGCATAACTAATTGAGAATCTATTAAATTTGAAATTTATAAAAATACACCCTTAAAAGTATAGTACATTATAAATTACCCCTCCAAAGTTTGAATTTTTTAATATTTTTTATAATTCCTTAATTTCAATGTAATGTTTAATAATTTTATGTATTTATAAATTAAAAAATTTATAAATATTATCATACTCCCTTTAAAAGCACGAGTTCGGAAAAATCTTTCTATGGTCAGTATTACCCTTAGCTTTTTTGAATATTACATTATTATCTTAATCTATTCTAATTTTAATCATATCTTATCTAATTCCACGTGAACTATCTATAGGTCAACAATTTAAAAAAAGTTATTTTGAATATTTCACTTAAATCTTAATCTATCCAAATACTAATTATATCCTATATTAACTCCATATAAACTACCTATAACTCAAAAATATAGAAAAAAATAAGATTAAGAAATAATATGTAGATAATATATTATAATACATGAAGTATTAAAAAAACAAAAAGTTTCAAATTTTGCATATAATAGCCTTAAAAAGTTTAAAATTACACAAAACACCTTGACTTTTTTAAACTTAAAAACAAACATGATATCTAAAAATTTAAAACTTATAATTAACGCTCTCAATATTTTAAAAATTGTAGAAACAACCTCAAAAGTTTAAAGGCTAAATTACATTTATATACCCTATGTGTTTCGCTCTTGAAGCAGTTATATACCCTAAGTTACAAAATATAGCAAAAAAATACCCTGAGTTGGCAAAAATTTACAAGTTAGTACCTTCTGTTAACCAACTGTGAGAATGACCTATGACCAACTTGAATACTTCTTACCCTCATTTATTGTATTATTTATTGTATTACCTACCCCCCCCCCCCCCCCCCCCACCCCCACCGCGC